AGGCGGGTCTCGAACCCGCGGGCTCAGGCAATCCACTCACCTCAGCCTCCCAAAGGCGCGGGATTACAGGCTGAGCCACCGAGCCCGGTGATCGTGAATATTGTTATGCATGATTTTGAGAGTTTCCTCCTTGTGAAATTTTGAGGTGGCAGAGTTGTCATTCTACTTCAAATTCATCCTGGCAATACTTTTCTTGACTTACAACCTAAGAAGAAAGAAGTACTGAGCAAATAAAAGACTAAAAGTAACATTGTTGATCAAACTCTGGCCTCTGTTATCTATCATCACTGTGCCTCTGGTTTGACATCAGTTCTGGAGCTTTGGTAATCATTTCATCATCATGTCACTCAAGTCTTGCTTCAAATCCAGACCTCCATGAACTGTTCTATGCCCTTTGTCTGACTTTGAACTTGGGTATTTGTAAACTACTTCACCATCAAGAGCCTCTCTGGTCTGAGTCTAAAGCTGGACCTTTGCTAACTATTACCCCACCAGTGCACCACTGGCCAAATCTCAAATCAGGGCCTCTGTATGATATTCCACCAGCAATTGTCTTCTGATCTGACCTTGAACTTGAACTTGGGCTTTTGTGTTCAATGTACCTTTTGTTCTGTACCAACCTTGAGGACCCTCAAGCCTGACCTTGAATCAGTCCTCTATTAATCTTTTCACCATCAGTGACTTTATGGTATCAATTCCAATCTGCACCTCTATAGAACAATTGTACCATTAGTTCCCATGGGGTCCAGACTTGAGCCCAGGCATCTGTTAACTAGTCTACCATCACTCTCTTTGGTCTGACCTCAAATCTGGGCATCTGTTAATATTTCCGTCATCAATGTCTCTCTAGTATGATCTCAAACACAAGTACTTTAAATTCTACCCTGTCAGTGTCTGTTTGGTCTACCTTCAAACCTGGTCCTCTGTTAATGCTTCCACCATAAAATCTCTAGTTTTGTTTTGAACCTGAGTCTTTTTTTTTTTTTTTTTTTTTTTTTTAGTAGGAGTCTCACTCTGTCACCCAGGCTAGAGGGCAGTGGCGTGCTCCAGGCCACCACAGCCTCAACCTGCTGGGTTCAGGTGATCCTTCCGCCTCAGCCTTCCAAGTAGCTGGAACTACAGGCACATGCCACCATGCCTGGCTAATTTTTTTATTTATTGTAGAGCTGGGGAGGGCAGTCACCAAGTTGCCCAGGCTGGTCTCGAACCCGCGGACTCAGGCAATCCACTCACCTCAACCTCCCAAAGCGCTGGAATTACAGACTGAGCCACCGAGCCCGGCTTTGTCAGGGTGTTCTAAACTCAAGCTGGGACTCTATGATTCCACCATGAATAACTCCTTGCTAGACCCTCGAATACAGGCCTTGGTTAACTCATTATCAATGTTTCTCAGGTATGAAACTTGAACTTGAGCCTGTTAACTTTTCCACACCTAATGCTCCTCTGGCTTGACCTCAGTAAACTGTTCCACTATTTATACCCCTCTGATCTTACCTTGAACTCTGGCTCTATTTAGTATTCATCTCTAACTGCCCCTTGGATCTGATTTTTTTTTTGAATTGTAGTCTCACTCCATCGCTCAGACTGGAGTGCAGTGGTATGCTCCCAGCCACCGCAGCCTTGACCTGCTGGGCTCCGGCAATCCATCCGCCTCAGCCTTCCAAGTAGCTGAAACTACAGGCGCGCGCTACCACACCCGATTAATCTTTTTTTATTTATTGTAGAGACGAGGTCTTGCCAAGTTGCCCGGGCGGGTCTTGAACCCGCTGGCTCAGGCAATCCACTCGCCTCAGCCTCCCAAAGTGCTGGGATTACAGGCTGAGCCACCGAGCCTGGCCTGAATCTGATTTTAAAGATTTCTTTTGTTTTGTTTTGAGTTGGAGCCTCACTGTCGCCCAGGCTGCAGTGCAGTGGCATACTCATCGCTACCGCAGTCTCGGCCCACTGGGCTCAGGTGATCCTTCTACCTCAACCTTCCAAGTAGCTGGAATTACAGACATGCGCCACCATGCCTGGCTAATTTTTTGATTTATTGTAGAGATGAGGTCTCACCAAGTTGCCTGGGCTGGTCTCGAACCCCTGGACTCAGACAATCCTCTCACCTCTGCCTCCCAACGTGTTGGGATTACAGGCGTGAGCCACCGCACCCAGCCTTGGTTTTTTTTGTTTTTTGTTTTGTTGTTGTTGTTGTTTTTCAGTTGAAGTTTCACTCTGTCACCCAGGCTGGAGTGCAGTGGCACACTCATGGCCACCGCAGCCTGGATCTGCTGGGCTCAGGTGATCCTTCCAGCTCAGCCTTTCCAAGTACTGGAAGCACAGGCATGCACCACTATGCCTGGCTAATTTTTTTTATTAATTGTAAAGACGAGGTCTCACCAAGTTGTCCAGGCTGGTCTCAAACCCTTGGGCTCAGGCAATCCTATCACCTGGTTTGTTTGTTTTTTAAGACACAGTCTTACTCTGTGACCCAGGTTGGAGTGCAGTGGCATGATCATAGCTCACTGCAACCTTGACTTCCTGGGC